GACGCGAGAAACGAGCAAAGAAGCCGATTCGACCCGACTAATCGTCTACGAGGACAACCAAGGAAAGAAACTAGCACCACGCCACAGCAGCAGTGCATCGTACATCTCCTGTCAAAGACGTCGTACCCTACATACCAACGGAGTTCTTTTTTACCAATCAGCGAACAGCGTGCCACATATGGTTTTCTCTCTGCAATACTTGTGGGGACGAGAGCAAAAAAAACGTCCACGCTACTGTACTACCGCGTCATATGTTCTACGGACTACGAACTACGAACAGACCACACACAGGGTCCTACTGTTCACGGCACACGTTCTACGGACTACAAAGAAAGACCACACACACAGGGGAAGGGGAGGTGGGGGGGGGGGGGGTCACGAGAGAACCAACTGCGTCTCCTGTCCGCTGCTCCGGAACCATGACAGGTAGTACAGTATACAAATATATCCCTCTTTGTATTCGGGGAGGTACGCAGCACGGGACAGGCTACCCACGCATCACCCCTTCGACTATAAGTTGGAATGAATCCCCCGCCCTCTCTCCCCCCCCCCCCAATGTCTAAAGGTCGGACGATGGCGGACCCAGAACCCCACCCCCCTTCCCCATCCTGTTGCGTCGTGATCGTCGTCGTGATCGTCGTCGTGATCGTTTCCTCACATCCATATTGTGCACGAATTCCTTCGTAGCTTGACAAACTTTGAGGCGCCTGCCATCTGCAACGCTTCGAACTGGGAATGACCTGTTGGAGTGGCGTCGAAGAAAAACAAACAACAATAAATAAAAAAATAAAAGCACGCGGAGCATTGCTTCCTTGGCGTTGTAGGGAATCAGAGCACGGATGTTCCGTTTCGACCAATAGGTGTACTAAGTAGTCTAATAGTGCTGTAACTGCCACACAAAGAGGAAAACGAAAGAGCAGGGACGTGTTCGAGTTTAGACAAAAAACAAAGAGGGGAAAAAAAAAAACGGTGTTGGAGAACCTAATACTATCCAAGCTTTTCATAAAAACAAAAAAAAATTAAGGAACAACAAAATGTATTGGGCGCAACTTGAGCCAGAAATAAGAGGCAGCGCCAGCGCCGGTCAGCAGCAGAAACAGCAGCGGCGGACGAAACATCAAGAAAATTCGGGGCGATGGGTATCTTTCATGCGCAAAAGAGAGAGACCGACGTCCCCGAAAAAACACAACCTCACTCGAGGACGAGAAACAACCTCATGCACGCACTACTCCTGATTGAACAAACTTCTTCTCAATCTGTGTCTCACCAGTTGGACAGCAAGGGCCGTGAAAGCTTGGCGCCATCCGCGCGGGAGGTTTGCAGCACGTTTACGAAAGGGTTGAGCATGTGATCCTGCCGCGAAACAAAGCATCGGCATCGTTTGCGAACGTGCCGACATCAACGACACGTCACCACGTCCAGATAGGTGGATGATGCAGAAGAGCGCACCCAAAAAAAACGAGCCCAAGAGAGGAAAACGCGCTCTTTTAACTCGAACAGAACAACCAGACGCAAACAAGGGACTTACAAGCTCGAGAACAGCTCTTATCTCAATTGGTTGTTGCTCTCGTGGGTTAGCATTTCTCGGCCCACACAGACCCGAAAGCTGGCACGACAGGCTGCAAACACGCCTACAGGTGCGGTTGTTACAGCCTTCAGGGTCTCCCTGGCGCTCCCACCATCGTGGAAGGAGCACGCTGTCGTGATGCGGCGAGAGGTCTGCATTTTGGAAAATTCGTGTAAAATCCGTTGGACCAAATTCTCGTTGACCGCAAGGGTTAGTTAGCCTTACGCCCTACCTTCTCAACCCCCCCCCCCTCC